CTACCCCACGGTTTAATCATTTTGGAAAGAAAAATAAATATATCTAATAAACATTAAGTTCTCCTAGAAAATAGGGACAGAGGGATTTGGGCAGAAAATAGAATACAAACTGTGCATTCATTTTTTTTCTTTATTATATAATAGAAATGTTATGTGTTATTTTGCGATAGTAAAATTATCAGGAATAAAAACTGATTAATTTGGCAGGCAATAGCTCAGGCAGAAATAAGGCACCAATATATAAAGTGTGACATTGACCATTGTGACGAAATCCACTTTGCCACTGGTTTTTGGAGGGGCCTGTTTGCCAGCCTCCTACCCTGGGACTATGGGCCCTGTGATAACCCATGTTCAAAAGCACTGTTTCTGCCCCTTGGACTTTTAACTGGAACAGATTCAAACATGGGGCGGCGGCCATCTTAAATTGTCCAGCAGTGTTTTGTCGTCGGGTGTATGGAACTGTTTTGGGCATGGGACCATGTGCACGGTGGGGCAAAAATAAAACTTCCAGGAAATTCCTGAACCCCTGAACCGATCTGGGTGATTTTTGGATATGTTGTTCACCCATATCGGGGCTATCGGGGATGTGAGTGGGGATATGTTTTATTTTGGGGTACTTTTGGGGTTTGTAAAAATGTGTTTTGTTTTTTTTCTGTTTGGAGTTAATTGAGTTAGCCCATTGTCTTTGTTAATTGTATCACAGGCGTAGGGGAGGGATTGTGTGCTGTAAGTGGGAGTGTCGGACATTGTTGTATTCTGATTGGTTTGTGTCCTTTGTGTGCCTGTGTTCCATCAGGTCCAGGGGGTGTGCCTCTGGCCTGAGGAATTGTATAAAAGCCAACCTGTACCAATAAAGCTTTAGACTTGCTCTACCCTTCATGAAGTTTCGGCTCATGTTTGGGGGATTGGAGAACTACCTACACTCTGTGTAAGAATATTAAATAGTTAACTTGTTTATATGTATTTTATGCTTTTATAAGGTTTATAACATGATTATTGCTGACTGAAGGGATATTGAATACTTAAAGTCAATATGCTGACTGTGACAGACTAAGGTATTTCTTCTATAGGATGTAAGACAATGCTAAAATTTCAGGATGTCTTGCCCATTCCGATTTCAGGATATTCTTTTCCAGACGTATGCAAAAGCTTATCTTTCCATTGTCAGAATAACGTAATACAAGGAAGTAATAAATCTTATAGTCTGTACTGTATTTGCATATACCATGGCTAATGTAAGCAAACTATGTATAAAAGCCAGCTCTGGAATACACTCATTTGAGAGTCTTGTAAAGCTGTTGTCCGTGTGTTATTGCTTACAATGATCCTCCATCAACGTTGATTATGGTGACGAGGGATCGAGAACCGAGGGGATTAGAGTCCATTACAACATTAACCCTTTCAGCTTGGTGTCTAGAAGTGGGATAGAAGTTGGATCAGCAAAACCATTTGCGGTGAGTAGCCTTTTTGTGTCTTATTTGACGCTGATTGTCTATGACCCCCTTTGGTTCAGTAAGACTGTATCCAGTAGATAGGAAAGGTGTAAGGACTCTAGTTATATTGAGACTATAAGAGGTCTCCGGTTTATTAGACATTTGGTCTAAATATATAGGGGTTCTTGGTAACCCAGGTTAGTATCTAAGATAGATACAGGTTTTTGAGACCATAAGAGGTCTCCGGTTTATTATAGGGTTTTGGTAACCCAGGTTAGTATCTAAGATAGATACAGGGTATCTCAGGTAGATACAGGTTTTTGAGACCATAAGAGTCTCCGGTTTATTAAGTCTATAGGTGTTCTGAGCAGCACGGTTTGTAGATCTTTAAGTATAACCCAAACTTCTCTTTCTCCCGGTCACCTTTGTTTGTCTTAAGTGTTTTTTGTGGGTGATTGATTGTCTATATTGGGGACACACTTTGGTAAGTTAGTAGTGTCCCCACTCTGAATCAGCAGTATGGGAAATGTGAGTTCAGGTCCTGAGTGACCAATATATGTATGTATATATTTGTATATGTATGTATATATGTGTGTGTATATGTATATGTGTATATATAAGATAGCAGTACTTTTAAACAAATGGAGGTTTTAAAAATACATAGGGATTAAGGAGAGAACGCAGGTAACTTGTTTTTCTTTGGTTTTTACCATATATTGGGGCTGATGTGTACTGTAGTCCTTGCTGCTGTCCAGTAGTGATGGGAGTGAGCGTAGGACTTATCTTTCTGCAAGATAGCAGTACTGTATATTAGAAAAGAAATGACTCATAGGTTGTACCTGATAGACCTACTTAAATCTTTTTGCTTTATTCTTTCTGTCGCATAGAAGTATAAGTTTATTACTCTGTTTTATTGTAAGTTATTTCACATGGGAACTGTGTGCCTGGAATGATTGTTGCTTTAAAAATACTATAAGCCCACTACACTTATTATGAGAGTGGGATAGTGTAAATGTGTTGCATTGTTTGCATGATGAGCTCAGTATATTTTATAACTGAGACAAAAAGTCACTTCAGTATTTGGAAGTTAATTCCCCATATGGGATTAATTGTATAGAAACACCAATCAGCACATCTTCCCTGCCCTGTGTGTTTGTTGCAAAGGATCCATACTGTAAATATGATTTTTGTTTGAAAATAACAGAGCAACATTTACATTTTCAGCGGTCCAACACATGCTTTATTTTGCACTGTAAATTAACCTTTTTATTGCAACAGGTTCCTTTTAAATGATCCAGTGTAATAACTACTGCTTGTGTCTTCTATGTCTCACATTATGTGATATTTTAAATTGTGGTATATAGCCTGAATCAGACATCATGGACAAAGGTTTTTTACCTGTGTTACTAAGGGCTCTTGGAGACTGACCGGTCTAAAGGTTTGCCATGCCTTTAAAACATGGTATAGTATAAATTTTTAAGTCTCTGAGAGTTCTGAAAGATTCAGGTGAAACCATGTCTGTTTAATCTGGTCCAGATGTTTGTTCAATTTCTATAGGATTTAAGTTGATGCAGCATCATCTCAGATTAGTTAATGGAAATTTTATACAAATAGTTGAGTTATGAGCGCGCTATATAAATGGATCCTTTCTTTATATATAATACTATAGTAGATTAAAGTAATGAAGTTAATTAAGAAAATGTACACATAAGAATCCCTAAAATAAATCTAAACTAAAATTGGTATACTTTCCAATAATATGTTCTGAATACAGCTGTTAACTCTTTATTTTGTGTAAATGGTGATTGTGATAATGTGTGATAAGTGTGCAGTTTAACTTGAAAGTGGTTTAATTTATATGTTGCTGTATTGTTTTAAATTATATGTGAATCAGTTTGTCACAGCCTAGTGATACTGATAAGAATGACAGCCAAATAACTGTTTTATTAGTTGTTGAATACTAGCGTTTTGGCCAAGAATAGTTGGAGATTTGGAGGTGTTAGTTTAAGATTGCTTTTATATTGTGTCTATCCGTGTTTCCTAGGAGGGAGACAGAGTGTGTAGTTGTGTGCCCATAAATGTGATTTCTGTATTGGCATATCTGCTGGGTACCCATTATGTGTTTCTACAAAGATATTGTTTTGTGAGATGACGTGTAATATTACATTGGATGCTGAGTATGAGTTATATGGTTTGAAATGAATTGGTGATTATGAGCTTAGTACTTCAGTAAGATGTGCTAAAATTTGGAACAAGGTGGAAGCTGAAATGTTGGGATTATGGAAGAATAGGTAGTCTATATTCATTGCTTTGGCATATAAGCAAGATGCAAAGGAAGAGATTGGTAATATGATTTTTGTAAAGAAATTTTACAAGTGTTGGAAGGATGAGGCAGGTTTGATGTCTGGAGATGATATAGATCTCTTTAAAATACAGTCATGCCTTGGTAATATGTTGCCACAGTATTCTTTGCTTGTGAAACAATTGATTTCAGACTGGGCCAATTTGGATAGCTCAGATCTTCTTACCAAGGTTATAGAAAAGGAAAATGCAGGTTGTTTTGAATTAAGAAAAGATTTAGGAAAGTAAGGTTGCTTATTATGCTCAGGGATTGCCACCTACACAGGCTGAGAGCGAGGATGGGATGGAGCACATAAAGCCCGTGGAAGGGGTGGTCAAAGAGGGGCAAGGGGATGGAGACAAGGAAATCAGGGTTATAGGGGCAGGGGTAACCAAGGAGGAATAGACAGGAACACTTGTTTCAATGTGGCCACTGGAGGAATGAGTGTCCACACCCCAGGAAACCCCACACACCCCAACAACCCCACCTTTCTCAAAATATGCCCTGTAGGCAAGAACAACACCAGACCCACTCCCAACACCACTGGCCAGCATATCGCTTAGTTCAGGACTTTAGAGCCCTGAATAGTTTAATTGTGCCCATTTCACCCATTGTCCCTGATGTGACATCCCTCATTACAGCCATTCCACATGATGCCACTTGCTTCACTGTCATTGATTTAAGTAATGCATTTTTTCTATACCTATTGATCAAGAGACACAGCTACTTATGGTTTTTACTTTTTGAAGGCTGTCAGTTTACCTGGACACGCTTACCCAAGGCTATGTGGATTCCCCAGCTGTTTATTCGTTGGTACTCCAACATACTCTAAAAAAACATGGACCACCGGTCATGGTTCCGTCCTTTTTGCAAAATGTTGATGATTTGTTGTTATGTAGCCCTAGCTATGAGGCAAGCACTGTGGATACTGTCAGCAACTATAGGTCACAAGGTTGTTAAACACAAAATGCAATTGTGTAAATCAAAGGTTGAATACTTAGGTTTTGTTCTGGCTTTAGGCACCAGACAATTGAGTCCAAAATGTATTGAGGTCATTCAGAGGATTCCTACACCCACTACTCGGAAGGAGTTGCTCACCTTCCTCGGCATGATTAATTACTGCCGCCAATGGATCCCTGAATGCTCCCATTATAACTCAATCCTAAGGGAGGCTGTACGTTCTGACAGCCCTGAAAATGTCTGCTGGTCACCAGACATGCTAGCTGCATATATTGCCCTTACAGTTGTTATTGTGCAAGCCCAGGCTTTAGGACTACCTGTGTATTGTAAACCATTTCATTTGTATGCTTGGGACAATTGTAAAACCATGGCCGCAGTCTGTGCACAAGAGCAAGGAGGCGGTATGCGTCCCATAGCATTCTTTTCCAAAGTAGTTCGAGCTCCGGTACAGGGTATGCCGGCGTGTCTCAGAGCATTGATAGCATGTGCAATGGCTGTTGAAACTGCTACTACTATCACACTAGGGCATCCTACAATACTTCATGCCAGTCACCAGGTCACTCAGCTGATGACAAATCTCACCACACAACACATGACAGCCCAGCGCTTCAGTGGTTATGAGATTCTTTTTTTTTTTAAATACCCAGAATCTGTCTTTTGGATTAAACAAGGTTTAGAGAAAGATCAAAATGATCTGTTCTCTAAAGAGGGGAGAATAGGCATACTTGAAGAATAGGCATACTTGAAGCAAGCTGATTTATTTTCATCAGTCAGGCACATAGCAAGCACCATTCAATTCCTCATGAATTCATTTTATATTAGGAATCTCAGGCAGCATGTACAGTCTTTTGTAAGATCGTGTGAACGCTGCTCTTTTTACACACTTACAGATTGATTTTATTCATGTATCCAAAATTGGTAAGAAACAGCAATACTTACTGGTCATAGTTAATCAGTTTAGTAGATGGCATGAGGCCTTTGTGACATCTAGGGAAGATGCTAGTGAAGATTATTGTTACTGAAATTATTCCCCGGTATTGCTGCCCTCTGCAGATTGGCTCTGATAATGGCCCGGTTTTTGCAAGTGGGGTTGCCCAGGAACTTGCTAAATTCTTGCAAGTTACCTGGCAGTTTCATATACCCTATCATCCACAGAATACAGGGGTTGTTGAAAGGATGAATAGGACTATTAAGGAAAAGCCCAGAATTTACCCAGGAACATGGGTAAATTGGACTAGATATCTACCAACTATTTTAGCTGAGATAAGAATGAATCCCCACAAGGTGACTAAATTATCTCCATTTGAGATTTTGATGGGATGACCTTTTCCCACACCCTGGGCCAGGGAACCGCTTGTTATAATGTCTGTGGATTTACAGCTAATACAAGAACAATATGTACAGGAGTTGTTGATAAAACTGAATGGTATGTATGACAATGTTTCTTCGCAGTTTTCCCTTACCTTCACAGGAACCTACTCATTCATACCAGCCCGGTGACAAGGTGTATATCCGTCAGCTGAACAGGACCAAGAAAGGAGGATACCCTTTTGGACCACCTGCTACTGTGATTGCTGTACCCAGAACCGCTGTCCTCACAGATTCCCATGACATCTGGATTCACGCATCCCGAGTGAAGCTGTGTCCAAAGAGGGGAACCAAGGAAGACAACACCACTCCTCGCTCGGAAACAGAAGAATTTCTCCTCAGCGAAGCATCATGGTTTTCACACCATATCGTAGATTGAGAGGATCATACGTACCTGAGACCAAGATTATGTTGTGCGCTATGCTTTCTGGAGTTGTTATACTCCCTCTGATATTGTTCCTTGAATGCCATTATGAGTACAAGTCAATGGCAAGTTTGAAACCTGTTTGTTTCTGGAAAAAGACTCTGACATGATGAACAATTCTTCAATACCCCCAGCCCAATTAGGCCTTAGCCCCTCATCTAGCATTCGTCACACACGCCCCCTCAAGAACCTTTCTCCACCACCTTTCTATCAGCATGCAATATGCAATCATTCATTCACTGAACGCATTTGGATGAATTGGACAAATAGTAACCCTTATAAGTACCAGTTACCCATATGAAATGTGTCTACAGCTAATGAAACCGATGCATTATGTTTGTTTAAAGGTTCACAGAAAATTGTTAGATCTTATAACGCAGAAATGTGCACAGTTAAGGTTGCATATCAATGTAAACAGATAGGCCTTATTACTTTTAATAATGATTATATAACTGGTATCATTAATTGGAGAAGGGGACAAATGTTAGTCATTATGAACAACACTACAATTGAGAACTATACACTACCTTATATTTTTACACCTTATTACTGTCCTTTATCCTCTACCATATAACCAAAAGTCAACAACGACACACACACACCTATTCCGTCCACATGTATTAATACAACTGCCTTCTTACAAGCTGTACATGTGTCATTAAAAATCACTACTCCTGTTGTAACATTATGTAACACAGCAAACAAAAGGCAGAAAAGGGAATGGTATGACACACTGTTAGGAGGTGCTGGAACCACTATGGGTATACTAAATAGTTATAGATATGGAGACCCTCAAGAATAAGTTAAACACAGCCAGTATGCATATAGGGACTGGTTTTCATGCTACTGCAAACTGGGCTCCAATTGTTGTTAAATCACAGGTTACAGGATTGGATTTAGATAAATCAATGTATAATTATTTAGATAATTTAACTGTTGCAACTATGAAATTCACTAGAGGTCTAAGTAACTGGAGTACTTGTGCCATCAGGTATTTATGGATACAACAACAAGGATTGGCATTAGAAAACACACTAATGATTCCCAAACTAGAGAAGATTAGAGGAAAGCGTAACCTCACAGATAATGAATGGTTACTTCTAAAACCCCAATCCAGTAAATGCAATGGATGGTTAACTGGTAATGTTTCACATTTTTCATGCTCATGCTATTTTACATTATATCATACAACATCAAAGGATGTTAAATTAGCTTGTCAATTTAACACATTACCAGTACCAGTTTATGATCTTTTTGCCAAGAATTTAACCTGGTGGGCACCCACATACACAGGGGACTATATTTTTCCCAAAGATAACACACACAGGTAGCCACACATATCCTAAAAGGAGAACTCCTTAAGGTGAGTTCACAAATTCAGAATGATTTAGCCCATAATTGGTACAATGCTTTACTGGTTGGTCCCCTACTGGATCCCAGATAATGAAATCATTCTTCTATCATTTTGTTATTATAGTCCTGATTTTATTGTGTATGGTTTTATATAACTGTCACTTTACTTGTACATTGAGGAAGAGAGTACAGAAATGAATCCATAATGCAGAACAGAAACAATTAGAAATTCTCCTCTCTGCCACTGTAGAGTATCAACCCATCTTTAAACTGGGCCTTAGGAATTACCACATGGGAATCGAGGTGAAGAAATTAATGAAAGTCCCGCAGGGAGTGACTAGCACCCCTGAAAATACCATGTGGAAGTTTCTCTGTCCTGGTAAGATTTTATCGATAAGATGAGCAATTGTTTTATTGCTCAAAGAGGGGAATGTAAGAATATTAAATAGTTAACTTGTTTATATGTATTTTATGCTTTTATAAGGTTTATAACATGATTATTGCTGACTGAAGGGATATTGAATACTTAAAGTCAATATGCTGACTGTGACAGACTAAGGTATTTCTTCTATAGGATGTAAGACAATGCTAAAATTTCAGGATGTCTTGCCCATTCCGATTTCAGGATATTCTTTTCCAGACGTATGCAAAAGCTTATCTTTCCATTGTCAGAATAATGTAATACAAGGAAGTAATAAATCTTATAGTCTGTACTGTATTTGCATATACCATGGCTAATGTAAGCAAACTATGTATAAAAGCCAGCTCTGGAATACACTCATTTGAGAGTCTTGTAAAGCTGTTGTCCGTGTGTTATTGCTTACAATGATCCTCCATCAACATTGATTATGGTGACCGAGGGATCGAGAACCGAGGGGATTAGAGTCCATTACAACATTAACCCTTTCACTCTGGGGTTTGCTATAATCACTAAGCTCTTGTAAGAGCTTGTTCCTGTTCCTGCTCTCTGGACTAAGCGAGATCTGCCTACTGGAAGCTGGATCCTGGTCTTGGGCCTAGAGTGGGTGGAAGACGGCGAGACCCCAACCAAACTGCGGCAGCTCTGGAGTCTGCGGTGGTTATGGTGTCTAGTGGAGTACTTGGAGCCCTCGGAAAGTACTAGGAGCATCCGTGAACGGAGGTACCCAGTCGGGGTGCCAGGCGATCCGTTACAACCGTTTTAAACATAAGAAAATGATGTAAAAAACTAACAGAAATGCGACACTTACCATACATTAAAAAGTTGAGCGACCGCCTGTGGATTCCATGGTGATTACGAAGTTTGCGCCATTTTTCAGTGACACTTTCATAAATCTCTACCCTTCCTGTGTTCATAAAGATTAACTAGGATCTGAATACAATGGGGGCAATTTATCAACATCCCACTAACGAAGAATCATGTGTTCCTGAATTCTCGATTCTGCCAGTTGTTTATTACTTATTTTGTGTCTCATTCTATTTATTAATATTTCTGTATTTTCCCGCACCATAAAAGTATTCCATTCTTTGGTGATCTTTTATGCCACTTTCATTTTGTCTCTGAATAATCACAACGTGTTCTTTGTTAATGGTAGAAAAACCTGTTGGACTATACAAAGAAAAACAGCAACACTTTTAGACTACTTTTCGAAAACATTAAAATTGGGAAAGATTTTGAATTCGAAAAAAATAGATTTTTATTTTCAGATCACTTTGATAAATCTCCCCCAGTTCTGTGATTACATGGACACTGCATGGGAGTCGGACGTGTGTGACGATAAGTGTCGCAAGGAGTGGATAAAGGTAATCACTCATCGAGGTTCGTTATCTGTCTCTGCAGAGACTCTATAGTTTCTGTGAGTGAACGAGCTCCCTCCAGAGTTACCCCCATTCCGCGCTTCGTGTCTTGTGGCATGATGATTAGTTGAGTTTGTGAAGTTACAAAAAGTTGTTTTTATCATAGAGTGCTGCCCTGTCTTTGGTCATATCTTCCTCACCAGTTCCTACCGCATCACCTCCAGAACTGCTATTTGTCTGCTCCCCCGGATGACATGATGTCTTTTGCTATCTCAATGTTATTTGGTTCTCCCATCTGCCTCTCCTCTCCTCTCCTGTGTCTTCCCATTCCTTCAAGAACCACACTTAATAGTACTCCCACATCACTAATACATGGTCAGATATTGCTAGGATTATTCGAACATTCTCAGTTTGTACACTTTCCATTTGATTTGTTAAGAGCTCTCGGATTTGACCAGGACTTGACGTGATTCAGAGTTGTTTGTAAAGTGTTGATGTTCTTTACATATGGTTTAGGGTTTATATGTTCAAGAAAGTGTTTTAAGCAAAATATCCAGATAAAATGTATGTGGATGTTTGTCTGTGATTTTTTTTTTTGTGTCAAAATTGTGTGAAAGTAGCACTGTTCCTACATTTTCTGAGACATGACTGTTAGGGCAGACCCGCTGGGCAGACTGGGTTCTTTGCCATTGAAGGGCAAGGCAGCATTGAGTACGGACATGAGAATCAACATGTGCTTATTACAGTTAGTATGTATAACTAGCAGATTATCCTACTCAATATCACTTATACAAAATAACTAGCAGATTACCCCACTCATTATCAGTCATTATACAAAGTAACTAGCAGATTACCCCACTCATTATCAGTCATTATACAAAGTAACTAGCAGATTATTACTCCACTCATTATCAGTCATTATACATAGTAACTAGCAGATTATTACTCCACTCATTATCAATCATTATACAAAGTAACTAGCAGATTACCCCACTCATTAACAGTCATTATACATAGTAACTAGCAGATTACCCCACTCATTATCAGTCATTATACAAAGTAACTAGCAGATTATTACTCCACTCATTATCAGTCATTATACATAGTAACTAGCAGAATATTACCCCACTCATTATCAGTCATTATACATAGTAACTAGCAGATTATTACCCCACTCATTATCAGTCACTATACCTAGTAACTAGCAGTCACTATACCTAGTAACTAGCAGTCACTATACCTAGTAACAATTAGTCATTGCCACAATTATTTTCAGATAGGTGATACAGAGATAGGCAGACGGACAGAAAGATAGACAGATACATACATCAATACCCAGTAGCACAGTATGAACACTTTGACATTTACTTGGCTATTATTGATTTGCTGGAGGGGTGACTGTTTTCCAAAAGAGCCAAGTAAGTGCCAACCCATGCATAAACATTTTGATAGCTTACCTTGGGATGGTAACAGGGGACTGCATGCACCATAACCACTATAGATTATTATAGTAATCATGGTGTGTACAGTAAAACTTTAAAAGGGAACTGTCATGTCCCAAGACTTGTAATATTTACTTATTAACTATATTAAAGGGACACTATAGTAAACACTGTTTCAGAGATAATGCAGTGTTTACATTACAGCCTAGTGATACCTTCACTGGCCACTCCTCAGATGGCTGCTAGAGGTGCTTCCTGGGTCAGTGCTGCACAGTGTGACTGACATTTAGTGTCTCCACCCTCTGCATGACCTTTCCTCATAGAGATGCATTGATTCAATGTATCTCTATGAAGAGATTCTGATAGGCCAGGGTGGCATTTAACCCCTCCTCCTATAAATTCCAGCCAATCCATTGCTTTCCTATAGGCTGAGATCATCACTTCTGATTATGTCAACCAAGGAGACAGAGCCAGCAACAGCAGACTGAAATAAAGGTAAGCTTTTACTATATTTATGGGGGCTAGGTGGTGTTTTTAACACTATAGGGTCAGGAATACATGTTTGTGGTACTTTAAGTAAATATGTGTCTGTGAGATATGAAAAACAATCTTTCTGTCTACTCTTAGTTTGCCTCGTCTGTGCCTGAGCTGAATTATCATGTCAATTGCTAAATCATTAATATTAATTCTAAAAGAAAACAAAGCGTAACATGAAAAAAATAAAAATGGTCGATTTTCAGTGAGAAGTGATGGTTCTCTTGTAATAACGTATCAACAGTAAAATTGAATCAAAATCTGTTTATACAATCATAGATAAACTGTGCCTAATGTGGTAGCTGTATCAGTTTGTCAACATTTCACATTATTTCATTAGTGGAGATCAGGATTGGTCACGGTAGCGAATTTGGATAAAGAGACAGAGGACACATTATTGTCCTGACCGAGGCCTAGTCTGTCAGTAACAAGCCTGGCCTGTAGTAAACCTGTCCTGACCGAGGCCTAGCGTGTCAGTAACAAGCCTGGCCTGTAGTAAACCTGTCCTGACCGAGGCCTAGCGTGTCAGTAACAAGCCTGGCCTGTAGTAAACGTGTCCTGACCGAGGCCTAGCGTGTCAGTAACAAGCCTGGCCTGTAGTAAACTTGTCCTGACCGAGGCCTAGCGTGTCAGTAACAAGCCTGGCCTGTAGTAAACGTGTCCTGACCGAGGCCTAGCGTGTCAGTAACAAGCCTGGCCTGTAGTAAACTTGTCCTGACCGAGGCCTAGCCTGTCAGGAACAAGCCTGGCCTGTAGTAAACCTGTCCTGACCGAGGCCTAGCGTGTCAGTAACAAGCCTGGCCTGTAGTAAACCTGTCCTGACCGAGGCCTAGCCTGTCAGGAACAAGCCTGGCCTGTAGTAAACGTGTCCTGACCGAGGCCTAGCGTGTCAGGAACAAGCCTGGCCTGTAGTAAACGTGTCCTGACCGAGGCCTAGCGTGTCAGTAACAAGCCTGGCCTGTAGTAAACGTGTCCTGACCGAGGCCTAGCGTGTCAGTAACAAGCCTGGCCTGTAGTAAACTTGTCCTGACCGAGGCCTAGCCTGTCAGGAACAAGCCTGGCCTGTAGTAAACGTGTCCTGACCGAGGCCTAGCGTGTCAGTAACAAGCCTGGCCTGTAGTAAACTTGTCCTGACCGAGGCCTAGCGTGTCAGTAACAAGCCTGGCCTGTAGTAAACCTGTCCTGACCGAGGCCTAGCCTGTCAGGAACAAGCCTGGCCTGTAGTAAACGTGTCCTGACCGAGGCCT